TAGAACAAGAAGGATAAAAGGGAACTTTGGTATAGCGAGCTATAATTAGATAAAAAATTAAATTTTTATAATTGTCAGTAACGAGATTTAAAAATGATAAAATGAGGTTCACATGTTGTCAATGAATGAAGATAAGTAAATATAAAGCGCCATTAAGTCTCTCCGAAAAGTCAGTTCATTTTTACCAATACGCACAAAAAGTACCGCGATCAACCGCTAGATGACTATATGCTACTTTCCAAGAAACTTCTATGTAAAGTAACAAAGATCGGGAATTAATAGCGTGTATGCACACACTCTTCTCTAACCGAGTTTAGGAGTATATATAACTCTTCTCTGCATTCTGCTAGCCGAGTTGCCTCTAGTGATACGTATTCGATGCCTCGCAGTGCAATGGGCCCTTTGCGTTTATACATACGTATGCAACAAGATCACTCATATACACTACGTATTAAGCACGAGTCGGCTTGTACTACAGTCATGCAGCTGCGGAATTGCCTTTCCTTCTCTCTCTCTCTCTCTTTCGCGCGCACCTTAATTAGAATCTTATCGGTATGCACAAGCCTCCGTGCACTTTGTGTGTCTTTCTCACTGTGCATAAGCCCTCCTTGCTCGCGAGTCTGTGCGCGCGAGTACATACGTGCACACGTATTTATAGAATATATTTATACTTGCAAATGGGAGCACCACGAACTTGTGGCTTACTATAGATATATACGTGTGTATGTGTGCATGCGCTTGCATCGCGCGCAAGGGAGCTTGTTTTCAAAGCCCTCGGATAATTGAGAATATATATGGCAAGTCCTCGACGACGACGTCGACGCGGACGAACAACTGAGAAAATCGTGATATCAATGCGCGTTATTTATCGTTTTGACGCTCTGTGTGTTGCTGCCGCCGCTGCTATTGCTGCGTATCCACAAAAAAATAGAGTGAGAGAGAGAGGAAGAAAGAAAAAGCCATCTCTCGTGTACGTTCTCTCTGTGTGCAGCGCGCGTCGAATGATCTATCAAGCGAAAAACGAAATTATCTTCGACCCCCTGGCTCGCGTGCGATGTTGGTGCGCCGCGCGCTCGATGCATCAATGTGACGCGAGCGCCCCGGAAACTCTGTATAGTATCAGGACCCGACCGAACGTATAGTCTCCTTGAAATATGACGAAAATAGCATCGGGATAGAGAGAGAGAGAGAGAGAGAGTCGATTCTCTTCATACCCCCGCTGGTTGACTACTACTACTCGTTCGGCGTAATCGATGGATGTGCGTTGGGCCAAACGAGAAACAGAGTGAGAGAGAGAGAACGAGAGAATCACGATTGCTCCACGAGAAATTAATGAACGATTTCCGAAGACGAAGGACTGAGCGAGCCGAGCGAGCTTCCGAGCAGCATCTCTCAGATATTTTGAAGGAATTTCATTTAAAACTTCTTGGCGCGATCACACTCATTCTTCCCGCAGTTTCTCTCTCTTTCTGCGCTCCGAAACTCCAACTCCTTCATCATCTTCTTCTTTCTTATTTTTCCTTTCGAATATAGCGCGTCATGAACTTATTACGCGAACATGTATTTTGCTCTTGCTCTTATTCTTAGCGCAGAGCTAGTTTTAGCGGTGATTTATTTCAGCTGTCAAAAATCGATATATTCCATAACTAGCTGTACGCTTCCTGCATTTTCCCGGCTCTCGATTTTAGGCCTCTCGCTCTTTTCTTCTCTTTTTTTTCCTTTTTTTACTGTCTGGCTGTAAACGCTTGTTTACAGTTTCGCGAGTCAGACGTAATTTATTGCCAAAGATACGCGATTATGATCGAGAATCCCGTAAAAATATCCCTCCGTATGGCTGTATAATTTTTTTTACCAGCACCTGTTGTTTATATATATGTCGTATGTATGCAAACACAACCGGCACTCAAAGCAAGAAAAAAACATAAAAAAAAGGAGCGAGAGAGAAAGAAGCAAAGAAATAGGCAGCGCAAAGGATTTAGTGCAAAATAGGAAGTGGCGTGACAGGTCGCAGTAAATACCAAGGCCTGACGTGGCTTGGCGGGCGTGCGCGGATGTTTTGCACTTACCGCACTGGCACATATATACGTGCACTGTGCAGTATACGTGTGCTTGCGCTCGACCCTGTCTGTGTATGTGCATGTGTGCGCGCGAAGAAATAGAGAAAGCAGTCTTTAGATTGCTCTTGCTTCAGAGAGAGAGAGAGAGAGAGAGAGACAGACAGAAAGGGAATGTATGTACAGAGAGAGATGGCAAGAGAAGTGTTTGCCTGGCAAAATTCGTAATTGGAGGCTTTGTTAGCTCTTTCTCTATCCTCATCGCTCTCCTTACATCTTTCTGCGGATGGATGGAAAACATACTTCAGTTATCGCTCGTGCTGCCGCTTCCATCGAGTCTCTATATATCTGTATAACTCTGCTGTGTGTTATATACATATAAAACCGAACGAGAGGATCCGATTGATGTTTGATTTTCTTAGCTCATTGTGCGCGTCCATCAAATCTGTCCGAGTTTCCATTCGATGCGATTCCTTTTACTCCCTCCCTCTCTCTCTCTCTCTTATTTCTCGCTCGTTTCTTCCTTAAATGTCGCTCTCTAACAGCTATTATATCCCTGCCGCGACGACTAAACTTTAATCATCGCGATTTAATTGCCGGACAAAGTCGAGCGTAACGCGATCGCACCGACTATTTAACAAACTTCGCCATCTCCGATCTCTCTCTTTTCCTTTATGAGCTCTTATAGCTCGCTCTCGCCCCACGTCGTATATACAGTATATAGGAACACGACGAAAGCTCAAGATTATAATAATATCCCGCGCGTTTACGGCGATAATTGCAATATAGCCCAGCGCGAGCTTACGCCCACATGGCTCTCTTGGACACCGCACAAACACCATTCTGACGTATTACAAGACGTGTTATATAAATACACCATGGGCGTTTGTGTTTATATTCGGCGGAGGGCTTTTAAAAAAAGCCTCTTTTTTAAGGGTCTTTTTTATCTCGCTACGCGGGCGCGTGTCGGTCAGAAATAGACGCGCGCCGTAAATTGTACGTGTAGCACAGACGCACTAATATGCAAGTCTTTCCACTTGGAATGATAATTTCTCAAAGGAGCTCGCGTGGCCAGCAGAAGCGGCTCGTTTTTATACATTTTTTCGGCAGACTAAGCCCAGGCCTTTTCTTTCCTTTATTTTTCCGTGGCAAGCTCTCGAGCTTTCATCTTCTCTTTTTCTTTCTTTGTTCGTGACCGGCACACGCACACACACTCGCTCACACTAGCGCATAGAGAAGCACACATAAGCTGAGCCACACGGCAGGCCACGAGGCATCTTTTTCTTTCACACTTTGAGAATTCACGCTCGCTGCGAGGCATATATTCTTCGCTCTCTCTCTCTCTCTCAGCTAGTGCGCTTTTCTTATCGGGCCATCTTTTTTTGCCCGCTGCGGTCGAGCTGCTCGGCAGCTCAGCTCTGGCACACAATGCAGGAGAGAGAGAGAACTCTCCGCGCTTGCGGTTTAGATTTTTTAGACTGGAATATTTACTCGCGCGGTACCTTATTATATGCATATAGTTCAGCGGCGCGCGCGCGCGTATATGAATGTAATACGTGCTTTAACCTCATGAAAATTTATGAAACGCGTGCTGCACATGTATGACTGGGGCAATAAAATGTCAGCAAGGCGACGGCAGCCGCGGCGATGGTGGCTGCAGTGTAATTTTGAATAAAAAACAAAATAAAAAAAAGTGTGAGAGAGAGAGAGGAAAAAGAACGGTTTATATAGAAGCAGACGCTTACATAAAGTACGACGATGAATCATGAGCTCTCTCGCACATGCGACAACGACGACGACACGACCGGCCCTAATCAACTTAACGCGCGCACGTCTTCTCTACCACCAACGACTTGCGCCATAGGCATAACTCAGAGATGAAAAATAATCTCTGTAGTCTCGCTCATCCGCAAGAGACTTTCCTTTCGTCAACCTGTCGTGCCTGCACAAGCCCATTATCTTAACCGATACGATCCGATCTGGCAGCCTCCCTACATATACCTCGTATACGTTCGTGTACGTCATGTGTATGATGCAACACTTTCTTCACGCGGTATGCCTCTCTTCTGCTTTTTTTTCTCCCGCGCTATTTTTTTTTTTTATCTGACAGAGAAAAAACAGCGTTCTCGTGTGGGTGTGCGAGTATAAATGCACGCAAATATTCACTCGCCCTTGAGGAAGCTGCTGAGGCATTGTCGTCGTCGTCGTCGTCGTCGTCGTCGAGTCGAGTTTTCTAGATCGTTGAAGCACGCCTGATGACCAGACATAGAGAAAAAAATGTTTTTCTAGACGAGTAGGAGAGACGGAACTCGAGCTCTAAGCCGTATCATCTCCTTATGTGCGCCTTTGTGCGCGACATAAGCGTACCTACGTACTCTCTTCTCTCCCCGGCTCTCGTCATACTCGCGCACCCGACACACACGTTAAAAGTGAAAGCTGCTCCCGCAAGCGTACTATATGTATATGGTACACACATATTGCGAGGCATAAAGACGGTAGCCAGAGTCAAGTGCTTTATTTTCATCGCCAATGATATATAAGGGAAGAAGCAAAGAAGAAGAAGCAGCAACAAAAAAAGTGAGGGGTTAGGCTCTCCTTTCTGTGTGCGATGCGGTTTGGCGATGATGCTATAATAGCCTGTATAGCCCGAGCCAGGGATAAGCCTCGACGCAGACTTTAGTCTTTCATGTTTATCTAGGAAATCGATCGTGGCTTTCTCTCTAAAGTGTTTGCCGATAATTTTTTTTTCTCTCACATAGAAGTAATAAATTTTTTTTGTGCTCACTACGCATACACTACACACACAGATGCTTTGTATCCTATTGAATTACAAACACGCGTGACGGTGGATCGAATTTGATCCTAAATGCTCACGTGGAATTTTTCTTCGTCGCGCTGTCTAGATTAAAATTTTTTACATTTTTTTCCTTCGATTTATGTTTACAGAATCTTCAGCGTCGACATGAGGATCTTACTACTCGGCATCCTGCTGCTGTACTGCTCGTTCAGCCTGACCGAGTCGGCGATAACGAAGCAGCGCTCGCGCAAGAAACCATCCAAGGACCAGCAGCATCGCGACCTCAACGTCTGCGACTTCGAGCAGACGGACTCGCCGCTGTTCTGCTACTGCAACGACAACAAGCTCGACAGCGCCGAGGACGCCAACTGCCTCATCTTCAAAAAGCTCGAGCTCAGCGATCCCATCTGGGCGCACTTCAATTCGCAGCTCTACATACACAAGCTGAGCTTCATCGTGCGCAGCGAGGGCGAGATCTCGTACATACCCACGGCCGTCTTGAGGCAATTGAAGCACCTGCACACGGTGAGCTTTCAGCACGCCAAGCTCGAGGCCATCGAGAGTCAATCGTTCGGCACTCTGCCCAGCCTCTCGACCATCATCTTGAACAAGAACAATATCCAGTGGCTCAAGTGGCACGCCTTCGAGAATCTGAGAAATCTTACACTACTGAATTTGGACGAGAACGACATTTCCGAGCTTAGCAGGTAATTTTCCTTAATCGAATTCTTTTATGGGGCTCTAGCGATCGAGCTCGCTCCATTTACTATTCCAATCAATGATTCGATGCGCTTTTTTTTATTCCTGCAGAGACATTTTTTACGAGCTACCGAAGATTCAGAAGCTCTTCTTGAATCACAATAATGTGTCGGTGCTGCACGACCGGGCCTTCGAGCACCTGCCCACCCTCGAGGAGCTCGAGCTCAACAACAACAAGATCTCGGTCGTGACGGCCGACAGCTTCAAGCGGCTGAGGATGCTGCAGCGTCTGGACCTGCGCAACAACTTGATCGCGATGCTGGGCGACCGCTGCTTCGCCGAGATGCCCGACCTCAAGGAGCTGCACCTCGATCAGAATCAGATCAAGTTCATCTCGAGCAAGGCCCTGGACGGCCTGCGCCACCTGAAGATGCTGCGACTCAGCGAGAACAAGCTCGTGACTCTGGAGCCGGACTTCCTGGTGGGCACGCCCTCGCTCACTCTGCTGGATCTCAGGGACAACCAGATCAGCACCATGACCTTCGACAACATCAAGCCCATCATCACGAATCTGTACAACAACTCGAGCTACTTCTACCTCGACGGTAAGTCAGAAAAAAGCTCGAATTCCTCTTTTAACGTTAACGCGCGAAGTTTTGAATTTATGATGTCATTGAATAATTGAAGAGTTGATATAACCCTTGAATTTTTTCGACACGCGTAACGTACGCGTACGCGTATAAATACAGATCCAGGGAATAAAAATAAAAGAGACAAACAATTGCCCGAGAAAAGCGTATTCATGGCCTCGCCGAGCTATCATCAAATTCGTAAAAACATAGCCCGCAATAGCCGTTACCGTGTATGCAACATATTCTTTCCAACGCTGTAGTCGTCGCTGTATACGCACCCACGATAGAGTTGACAGTTGGCCGTTTACGTGTCGAATGAACCTGAACAGTGCGATGTGCTCTCGCATGTAAGCGCATATACTGCGTCCCCCTGCACGAGCTTGCAGAAATAGAAAATAAAAGAACGAAAGGGATGGATGGAAGAGGGAGAGAGAGAGAGAGAGAGAGAGAGAGAGAAAGAGAAAGAAAAATATACATCGGAAAAAACAATGGTGAATTCTCGTAATAGACAAACGGAGCAAACAGTTATATGCCTTCTCTCTCGTAAAATGGAAGCGAATCGTTTGAAACTTTAGCTCGGTCGCGCACGCGGGCGACTTTTTCGCGTTTATATAGTTTTTGGTGCACTGCTATTATGCTATTTCGCCGTCGATACACATACATAACACGGGTTCACTCGCACGCGCTCGCGTATTTACGAATCGCGAAGTTTCGGTTCGGTGCAGTGCGCAGTCGAAGTTTTGCCACTGCTTCTGCTGCTGCTGCGAATGCGCGTGTGCAGCTAGCTATGCACATATCCACCGAATAAGCAAGAAATATTTCGACTTTTCGATATTATACGCACATATACACACGCACATACACGTACTAGTTTCGTGCTGTGCAGAGATAGACGCGCTTGCAGCAGCAGCAACTGCAGCGAAGCAGTACATAAATACGAACTTTAAGCGAGCAACTGTACGATCGCGAGAAACTGTTTGGATATTTATATGAGATATATACGTGTGTATGTGCATGTGTATGTGCATGTGCATGTGCGCGCGGGGGCGCATGCCGCAAGAGCGAGCTTAATGTTATGCGCGAACGGGGGTGCAACTGATACATAATATTTCACAAGTGGCCGTTTTCGACCGATGGAGTTTCAAAACTCATGCCGCTTCTCGAGCTTGCTGCAACGTTCAGTGCATTGCAGTAAGAGGAGTAGCTATATACAATTGTTGCGCTGGCAGGATTTTCGCGTGTACGTACGCCGCTGAGTAGAGGGAGAGAGCTTTATTCGACATTATACGAATGTCAACAAATACTCCGCTGCAGTGGTATAGACACAGCAGCAGTCGAGGAAAACAAGCCTGCGTGTGCTACTCGTTGCAGGCACGCATGTGGTGCACGTTTTAAGCTCGTACAGTCGACGTCTTCGCAACCGAACCCTTTACCCTAACCGATATAATGCGACTTCCAGACTTTTGTTCGCCGTTCCGCTTTCTCGATTGGTCGATTCAGCTTTTAAAGTACAATAGACCTGATTAACGGATCCATTATCGAGAGTAGATCTGGGTAGTATCTATAGTTAGGGTCGATCGATATAGCCAAGCGAGCCGTAAGAATTATAAAGGAATATAAGAATTATTTAACGATGCAATTCGACGTAATATATTCACGCGGAAAATTCATAAACAAAATGATTTCCTATCAAATCTCGCAAGCACATAAAGTCGATGCACTGGCGTGTATAGAATGAAGAAAAAAAGCAAAAAACGACCGAAGACGATAAATATACTCTTTACGCTGGGCTTTCACCTCACCCTCGTGCCCCGTACGCTCGTGTACATATAACAAACATTCCCAAGAGGTCAGAAGTGCAGACATAATATAGCTCTCGCAAGCTGCAGCCACCAGCGCGCGCGAGAGGAGCTGCGACCACGCGAGTGCGCGAACCATGCGGGGCAAGCTATACACCGTATATACTAGATCCAAACTCTCGAGTCGCGTATAGCCATATATCGAATTTTCATAAGCTTTCGAAGCGAGGCACTGCTTATAAATAAGACGCGAGAGACCGTCTTTTATGAAGATCCCCCCCAAGAAAGCACAAGTCAGACGGAAAAGTTCGGCTCTCGAGCGATCTACGAGCGCCGCCGCCGCCAACGAGCGCGCCCTCAGCTGTATATGCTCCCGAGTTTTTCGTCGTCGTACTGCGCGCTCGCTTATAAACCTCCCCGGAGACTGCACGGAAAACTCGACGAGGCACTCGATCGCCCGACAAATGCCGAGCGATCGGTTTTATTAATGTCTTACCGTTGCCTATACGAGCACACGCGTATTCTCCGAGAAATCGTAATCGTCGTTCTGCGGACTTTTTTTTTATCCTGCGTCACTCGAGTGGTTGCGAGAGAGAGAGAGAGAGATCGACTTTGAACGAATAAGCCAAAAGTTAAACGAGCTTTCGGCGAAAAATTAGAGGAGCCGCGCGTATTTGATGCGTTAGGACAATGCATAAGGGATGAACATCTTGTAAAGCGAAACTTTCTTCCCGACTTTCATCCTCGTCCTCGTGTATCGCGCGACCGCGTTTATACACGAAATTATTCCGTGCTAACCGGTCCCGCATATAAGAGAACCCGCTGCAGCAGCAGCAGCAGCAGTTAAAATTTGAGCCAATCAGTCACTAAACTTCTTGTAGCTGCGCGTGCACGTAGTCTTCTTCGGGGCGAGCTTAAAATTCATTGTCCTCGTAGGAAACTGCGCCAAGTCTCGCTATATATACGTACGATGGAGCTTGCCAACTTCGTTATACGAACGTCAGTCGATCGCGTCAGCGCGACTAGCTGTGTATATATAGCGACGGCGTAGCTGCACGTACAGCTCGCACACACATACACACTCGAGCGTACATCGAGATTCGATAACTATACGCTGGATGTATGTGCGCGCCTTGTTAAGCTCTGCTAATCCTTCGCGGCCCGCACTTCCGAAAGTTTCTCCGTGTGCGCACGCCGAGGCGAAGTTAAGTGCACGCTTAGCAGATCTTTATATGTAAAAGACGAGCGATCCCCGATCGCTAAAGAGAGACAGAGAGAGAACCCCGTGTCAATTGTGGCCGAGCGGAATGCGTCGGATCATTAATGCTTATAAACGCCTGCTGAAGCAGAAGCGCAGTTCGTTCCTAGAACGACGAGTTTGAAGTGGATTTGCCATTTCCCATGACGCGCAAAAGAACACATGTTGCAGCAGTCGCTAGTGCTAATTGAACTCTCTGTCTGTACTTCTTTACTCTAATTCGCTTGACTGCAACTTTGGTACGAGACAAACGTCATGAATTGAGTGAAATTCCAGAAAAAAAGAGCAACTTTAACGTCAATTCGTTCAATTGTTGCGTCATTGAGTTTTCACCACTCAGTGTACAAGTGTACAACATTTTATAATTTCTTGCTCAATATTACCACACTTTTCAAGTTTTGCTTCCTCATAGAGGAAGCTTTTTTTATCTTTTATACATTTTTACTTTGAAAAAATGTTATTCTTCACAAATATAACAAATCAAAAAAATGCTGAATGAATTATAAGTTAGGATAATCAAGAAAAAAATTTCTTTCGTAACTAAAGCAATAATTTATTAGCCGGGCCCTACTAGTTGGAAAAAACTTAAGCTAAATTACTTAATAGTTGACTTATACAACTATTTTGACTTTGCCACTTGCACGTTTACAGATATAGGTACTCGCCATCTAGTGGTGAAACCTCGAAGTAATTTTATAGTATTTAAAGTGATTGAAAACAAATCTAAATTTTTGAAAACAGTAAAATTGTTATTTTCAGTTCATTTGAAATGCGCTTTATGTCATTAGGCCATTATTAATGTAAAGTATTTTTACTAGGATATCAATCAAATGATCCATAAGTTTCAAAATTATTCCAATCGAGTTATAAGAATGTTATCTCTCCATAAAACTTTTTCATTGTACGCGGCGATAAGGAAATGAAAAATACGCCGTTGGCTTTAGGTTGAAATTCAGTGTCCCTTTCTCATTTCATCCGTACATACCTCACACTTGCCATTTTGATTATAATCATCTTTCTTTTTTTACGCTGCACGCGTCATTTTTCCAGTTTTCCGCATCGAAAAGACACATGGGTATACACTAAGTTCATAAAAGTTGAATTGCCTCCAGTAGAAATTTTCGTTCGATGTGCTCGACAAACCTACATTGAAACGAAGTTCTAATTAAGCTTTAATACACCAAGCGGGTGACGCCACGCCTGCGTGTGTTGCATTATTTTTTTCGTCATTTTTACCATTTACAAACTATGACTGATAAAAGTTATTTGATAATCCGTTCGTTTCGTGCGTAAAAAGCTCTTTGAAAAGAAAAAGTAAATAAATAACGTGCAATAACGACATTTGGAATGGTCGTGACGGAGATGGAATCATGCGGTAATATCGGACGGAGCACTTACTTAACCACTCGAACACGGTTTTAGGTGAGAGAGAGAGAGAGAGAGAGAGAGCGAGCTAGCTAGCAAGCTGAGTCGAGTGTGAGGGTTCACCTTATAAGCGGCTTTCGCAATATCAATGCGTCGCTTCTATCCGCTCTTACCGGCCCCTGGACCATTAGACGGCCCGAGAGCTCGAACTTGTAATCTCTAAGCTGGACCATTACTGAATTTCGGCTTCTCCGACTGGGCGCGTTTATGTTGCCGAGGGAAATATTGACTCTGCCATGCGTACGGAATTCGCGCGAGGCAATATGATGTACGACTTTACGGCGAATGGCAATATTTTTTTCACGACGACGCGTCCTCTCGCCAGGTCGCCGACTAACCGATTTGGAATTAAAATATCGATCGCGTAATGATCTATCGATCGAGTGCAGCGCGTGCAGTTCATAAATTATTACTTCACTCCCTCCCTCCCTCGCTCTCTCTTTTAGCGATCGTCGCACTGCATAATATACATACTAACCACACGGGGATCG